TCCAACTGCTATCTTGACTTGGCTTGATAAATCTCCATGACCATAAGACAATTCATTTTGGACATATTGGCATTTCGCAATGCGGATGAAAAAAACTACTTCTGATAAAATACTTTTACCTTAAAACCAGAGCGTCGTAAATGGGGGCTAAATTTGGGCTCCCAGCCTGGCAACTTGTATATGGCAGGTGGAGGAGGACGTCATTTATTCTAGAGATCGTGGCCAGAATTGCTTATTCCTATAAACGTATATATAAGATGATGTCCTGTACTATACTATGGCAGGAGCAAAGAATACAGTCTCTTGTAATTTCTTTGCGTATCACTGAATAACATCAACCTATCAGATTCAGCTGACTTTGGAATATAGCACTGACTAATGTTAAACTTCCTGGATGTCACTACTCACAAAGGAGGTCTATTGCACAACAGAGCATTTTTCAAGGCAAACGATAGGAAAATAACAGCTATCATACCTACTGTAGCTGTCCTCCACCCCCGATGGCTAGCCTAATATTCCATAACAGCCAGTTTCATATGGATTGGATGTAATTGCACTGCTTTGAGCCTATCATGATAAAGCTGCCATTCTAAGACAAAGGTGTGTAGAGAAAGGTTTCGAGGAAAAACAACTCTTGAATGATATTGACAATGTAGCCAAAATGAATCAGGATAATATGCTTTCTCTGGTCCACCAACACAGATAAATAACATATTTTGCCATCTTATTTCCCCCATTCTTCTACTTAAATATATGGCCCCATTAGTAGGAATAATCAAGAAAAAAACTAGGGAGGTGCTTTAAAGACGATCAATCCGTTTCTAGGCCCTACCTGAGAAGCCAGAAATTGTTTTTAGAAGGCTCAATCAATGAAAATAATATCTCTCCATAATGTGGCGTGACCCCCCTCTCGTCCTAACGCCCAGGGGTGGGCAAACTTTTTCATCTTGAGGGCGCAATGGGTTCATATACTTGGACCCGGCGAGGCCGGCACCAAGTGTAGATGAATGATGTGTATGTGTATCCATAGTGTTAGGATTTGGATGGCCAGCCAATGGTGGGACTCACCTGCCTTTTGAATCTGCTGTACCAGGCTGGCTCCCAGACAATCAGAGACTCAACCTTTCAGCCAGCTAACAACCTGGAACTGATGATGCTGGGGTATTTAGGTGATGGCCAGACCCCAGACTCTGCCTTGGTGTTGTGTTTGTCCTGGGCCCTGTATTGTCTGAATCCTGTTTCTGTACCCATTGTTTATTGTTACTGGTTTCTTGTATATGTTGTTTGTTTTTTGGTTTGGTTGCACTGTAGGGTGTGGGGGTGTTCCGGATACTTGCACTGGGGGGTTAAATGAAAATGGTTGGGGGGTGGTGTTCAAACACATTGGTGTGTGTTGGGGGTACGGTGTGTGGGAGGGGGGCTTTATTCCCTGGGGGGATGTGGTCATACCTGTTGTCACACCTCTGTGGGTGGGTATGACATATACACCAATGGCCATCGTGGAGGGGGGGGGTGTTGTTTCTTGCACAGTGAAGCCATCTTGGCCTTGTTGATGGGAAGTCGAATGGATCTTAGTGATGAGGATGAATAGTTTAATTATTGCTAGTGTTTTTGATGACAGGGAGTATATGGCTTTATCAAACTCTGAAGGAGTATACCCCGGGACAATGAACTGCTAGAATGTATACGGTTCTCGGCTCCATGGTTCTAGTAGGATCAGGGGGGCTGGCACAGGAGTTCTCTGAGCGGGTGCAGTCCATTAGATTGAGGTTTGTGTGCTGTTAGTTTGGTTTCATCTGGTACCCCCCGAATGCAGCCTTGGGATGAATTTTTGCCACCATTTAAGTGTCCGGAACCAGGTAGGGGGTCGAGTCCCCTGGTGGGTTATTAGAGGAAGATTTGGGGTTGACTTCTCTGGAGGAGCGTTATCCTGGTCCATGTTCACAAAAAACGTGGACACCGAACCACTTAAGGGGAGGATGTATAAACGCAGTGGACGAGGGTCATTGACCAGTGTACAGGCTTGGATCGGTAGTAGCTCAGGGCTTTTGTTCAACCCGATGTACTGCAGACATTGGGTACATAATTTGTTAGCACCCACCAGCCTCCAGTCATGCTTACAAAGACCCAGTCCTGGCTATCTAATCTATCTTCCTCAAATACTCTATTCCTGGCATTTTCCCAACAGCTCCATCCTGCCCTGCTATCTATCCGCATGGTATCAAGGGGACTGTGTACGCCAACTGTCCCAGAGCGGCTGCACCTATCCTGCCTTTAACCCTGTAGAAAAGAGCCCCTCTGTAGCAACCTCGCTCCCTCTTCGTCCTGTTCCATCCTCACAGGTGTCTTCTCTGTCTCCACTGCTCCATTCGTTTGCAGACCTGCGTTTGTCTACTTGCAGTGCTCCAGTAGTTAAAGACCCAAAGAAAAAAGCGAAAATTGGGTTTCCGAAACAATACCTATCCTGCCAGTATCCACTAAACCGGTGTTGATGCCTGCCGTGGTCAGCAGAAGCCTGTACCGGGGTTCACATCCTTGTAGCGGGACGAGACGATCAAGACCTCCGCACTTAAGACCACCTGTCTAGGTTGGTGTGGGCCTCTGACCTGGGGACCTGGGTATGCAGCCAGATGCCTCTCTTACGTGCAGGCCTGAAGCCTCTACTCGGCCTGAAGCCTCTACTATCGGTCCGATGCCTCTACTCGGCCTGATCGCCCTCAGGCTACTCAGGCCGTATGATGGGTCCTACTCAGTTGAATATGCCTCTACTCAGGCCGGACGCCGCATTCAGCCTGATGCCTCTACCCAGCATGATGAACTGATCCAGCCTGACGATCCTATTGTAGGCCAGTGGTACCTGGATGCCCACATGTTGGGATCCCAGATGGGACTCCACGAGATAACCATGATCCCGGGCCCACGCTTCGAGGCCAAATGAACCTGATGCCTTTGGTGACGGGGGGTACCAGGTGCCCGCAGTCATATCCTTGGTGAACCCGATGCCCTGCTGTCGGCGAGCGGAGCAGGGTACCTGATGACAGCCCCGGTGCTCACAGTCGTGCCTGAGGTGAGACTCACGGTTTGACGCCACCTGCCTTGCCAAGTATGACGGGGCCCACTCTGTTCGATGCCAAAGACCTGATGCCTGGTGACCCCAGTGCCCGCTGTCAGGGTGGGCCAGACGATCCAAAGCTCATGTCTGACCCAGTGCCCGGCGGGTCATACCAGTTGACTCGGAGGTCCCACTGCCTTGCCAGATGACGCGGTGGGGGGGATTGTCCGCGCTGTCGAGCCAAATGACCTGATGCCTGGGACTGACCCGATGCCCGCTCGTCCAGCCAGACGATCCAGATGTCTGACCCAGTGCCTATTGCGGTCATTTGTGATCCCAGTTGACGTCGGAGCCCACTGCTTGTGATGTTTTTGCCGCTTACGCCTGGTGGACCTCGAGCCTTGTTTGTGGACCCGCCTGCCCGGGCCGGCAGAGATTCCTGTCAGTTTCCGATTGTGCCATGCGCTGTCATCAGGCCTGTTGGTACTCCGGCGCCCACCTGCCGTATGGACGCCTGGGGACCGGTGGACTGTCGCCCCCACACTGAGGGTTCCAAAGACCTGTCGCTCCATGCCTGGAGGGCTCCGCGGCCCCGCCCCTGCTCCCCGCCTGGGTGCCCGAGACCGTCGCTCCTCCTGGGGGTCCGGCGTACCTGCCGCTCCGCCTCTGAGGGCCCGAGACCTGTCGCTCCACCTGGGGGCGCCCAGCGCTCGCCGCGCTCCGCCTGAGGGCCCTCAACTGAGACCTGTCCCCTTACGCTCCACCTGGGGGTCCGGCCTGTCGCTCCGCCTGGCGCCTCCCTGTTCTACCTGTCGTCCTCAAGGGGTCCGTCCGCCCGCCTTCGCCCGCCTCCCGCCTGAGGGCCCCCCTGTCGCTCCGCTGGGGGTCCGGCGCCCGCCGAGCCGCCTGAGGGCCCGAGACCTGTCGCTCCGCCTGGGGGTCCGGCGCCCGCCGCTCCGCCTGAGGGCCCGGGCCCGAGACCTAAATCGCTCCGCCTGGGGGTCCGGCGCCCGCCGCTCCGCCTGACCAGACCTGTCGCTCCGCCTGAGGGCCGGTATGCCCGTCGCTCCGCCTGGGGGCCCGAGACCTGTCGCTCCGCCTGGGGGTCCGGCGCCCGTCGCTCCCGCCTGGGGGCCCGAGACCTGTCGCTCCGCCTGGGGGGCGGCGCCCTGCCGCTCCGCCTGGGGGCACGATGACCTGTCCCGCGCCTGGGGGTCCGATGCCCGTCGCCCCGCCTGGGGGCACGATGCCTGTCGCCCCGCCTGGGGGGTCTCCGGTGCCTGGTCGCCCTGCCCTGGGGGCCCGCTGCTCCGCCTGGGGGCCCGGTGCCTGTCCCGCCCCGTGCCTGCCGGGGCACCGGTGCCTGCTGCCCCGCCCGGGGGCCCGGTGCCTGCGCTGCCCGCCCGGGGGCCCGGTGCCTGCTCGCCCGCCCGGGGGCCCCGGTGCCTGTCGCCCCGCCCGGGGGGCCCGGTGCCTGTCGCCCCGCCCGGGGGGTCCCGGTGCCTGCTGCCGTCCGCCCGGGGGCCCGGTGCCTGCTCGCCCGCCCGGGGGCCCGGTGCCTGCTGCCCCGCCCGGGGGCCCGGTGCCTGCTGCCCGCCCGGGGGCCCGGTGCCTGCCGCCCGCCCGGGGGCCGGTGCCTGCTGCTCCGCCCGGGGGCCCGGTGCCTGCGCTCCGCCCCGGGGGCCCGGTGCCTGCTGCTCCCGCCCGGGGGCCCGGTGCCTGCCTGCTCCGCCGGGGGCCCGGTGGGCCCCGCCTGCTGCTCTGCCCGGGGGCCCGGTGCCTGTCGCCCCGCCCGGGGGCCCGGTGCCTGTCGCCCCGCCCGGGGGCCCGGTTGCCTGCTGCCCCGCCCGGGGGCCCGGTGCCTGCGCCCGCCCGGGGGCCCGGTGCCTGCTGCTCCGCCCGGGGGCCCGGTGCCTGCTGCCCCGCCCGGGGGCCCGGTGCCTGCCTCGCCCCGCCCGGGGGCCCGGTGCCTGCTGCTCCGCCCGGGGGCCCGGTGCCTGCTGCTCCGCCTGGGTGGCCCGCTGCCTGCTGCTTCGCCTGGTAAACCGATGTGCCTCTGCCCGGAGTCCTGCCCGATGTGCCTCTGCCCGGAGTCCTGCCCGATGTGCCTCTGCCCGGAGTCCTGCCCGATGTGCCTCTGCCCGGAGTCCTGCCCGATGTGCCTCTGCCCGAGTCCTGCCCGATGTGCCTCTGCCCGATGTGCCTCTGCCCGGAGTCCTGCCCGATGTGCCTCTGCCCGTGTGCCTCTCCCGCTCGATGTGCCTCTGCCCGGTGTGCCTCTGCCCGATGTGCCTCTGCCCGATGTGCCTCTGCCCGGAGTCCCGCGAGTCCTCTGCCCGGTGTGCCTCTGCCCGGTGTGCCTCTGCCCCCGGTGTGCCTCTGCCCGGAGTCCAGCCCGACATGTGCCTCTGCCCGGTGGGCCGCTGCGCGGAGTCCTGCCCGGTGTGCCAGTCTTTGATATCCCGCCAGTTACCAGACCCGGGCGGTGGAACATTTTGCCCAGCTAGGACTGTTTGGAGCGTCCTGAGGCCGCTCCTTGGGGGGGGGGGGTACTGTTAGGAATGGACTGGCCAGCAATGGTGGGACTCACCTGCCTTTTGATCTGCAGTACCAGGGCTGGCCAGCGGGTGCTCCCAGCAATCAGAGACTCAACCTTTCAGCCAGCTAACACCTGGAACTGATGATGCTGGGGTATTTAAGGATGGCCAGACCCACAGACTCTGCCTTGGTGTTGTGTTTTGTGTCCTGGGCCCTGTATCTGTCCTGCATCCTGTTTCTGTCCCTCTGCCTGACCCTCTGTACTACGCTGCTTGTTACCTGTTTTGATCTCTGGCTTGTGACCCTGACCATCCCTCTGCTGACCCTCTGTACTACGCTGCTTGCTACCTGCTGAACCTGGCCTGTGACCCCGACCATTCTCCGCTTGCTCCCCCTGTACCTACCTGCCCAATTGATATTGACCCGGCCTGCCTGACGACGCTTGCTTGTATGTACTGTTATCTGTGGGTGGTTTGGTTTGGTTTGTTTGCACTGTATTATGTTTTAGTATTGCACTGCGTTTATGTTTGTATGGTTAGTGTTAATAAATTGTATTGTTTATCACATATCTGAAGTCTGCGTTTCCCTGCTTCAGTCACACACCTCTGGTCATACCTGGGAGCCCTGACACATCATAAAACTGACCAGCAGTAATTGAACATTCCTCAGGTCAACTCTATGTTTCATATCATGGAGTATGAAGCTGTTAGTTTAATTCAGAGTTCCCCTGACCCCTCCCAACACAGCGTAGTCAGAGCAACCCCCCTTTCAGAGGGATTTTTAAAAAGGACAGGCTGCAAGCCTGAAAGTTATGTTTTTAACACATCTCCTCAGCTGAACATTGTAACAAAAGGAGATCAAAGAATCATCCTGCTCTGCAACTTGGATCTGCAAAACAAGGCATATGGGCAAGTAACTTAACCCTGTAACTTCCTTCCTATTATCTCTTTGCTGTATATCTTTATATACATGTATACAGTTGTGTCCAAAATTATTCAACCCCCACTGAAATTGAGTGTTTTGGCCAGTTTGACATTGCTTTTGATCATTCAGTCATCTTGCTTACATTTACATTAAAGAGGCACTTGTAGGTCAGACAAATATAACATAACAGTTATAATGAAATAACCACAAATGTCTTTTCTGTGCTCACAGCATTATCAGTTTTATTCAACCCCCAAGTGACATTCAATCTTAGTACTTAGTACAGCATCCTTTTACAGTTATAACAGCTTTTAAACGTGAAGCATAGCTTGACACAAGTGTCTTGCAGCGATCTACGGGTATCTTCGCCCATTCTTCATGGGCAAAGGCCTCCAGTTCAGTCACATTCTTAGGCTTGCGCACTGCAACTGCTTTCTTTAAGTCCCACCAGAGGTTCTCAATCGGATTTAAGTCTGGTGACTGCGATGGCCACTCCAAAATGTTCCAGCCTTTCCTCTGCAACCATGCTCTAGTGGACTTGGAGGTATGCTTGGGATCATTGTCCTGTTGAAAGGTCCAACGTCTCCCAAGCCTCAGGTGTGTGACGGACTGCATCACGTTTCCATCCAATATCTCCTGGTACTGAAGAGAATTCATGGTACCTTGCACACGCTGAAGCTTCCCTGTACCTGCAGAAGCAAAACAGCCCCAAAGCATGATTGACCCTCCACCATGCTTCACAGTAGGCAAGGTGTTCTTTTCATCATAGGCCTTGTTCTTCCTCCTCCAAACATAGCGTTGATCCATGGGCCCAAACAGTTCTAATTTTGTTTCATCAGTCCACAGAACACTATCCCACAACTTTTGTGGTTTGTCCACATGGCTTTTGGCATACTGCAGTCGACTCTTCTTATTCTTTGGAGACAGCAAGGGGTACGCCTGGGAGTTCTGGCACGGAGGCCTTCATTACGCAGTGTGCGTCTTATTGTCTGGGCTGAAACTTCTGTACCCACATCTGACAAATCTTTTCTCAGTTCCTCAGCAGTCACACGGGGACTTCTCTCCACTCTACGCTTCAGGTAGCGCACAGCAGTTGAAGTCAGCATCTTCTTTCTGCCACGACCAGGTAGCGTTTCAACAGTGCCCTTTGCCTTGAATTTGCGAATGATGCTTCCTAAGGTGTCTCTTGGTATGTTTAACATCTTTGCAATCTTCTTATAGCCATTGCCCTTCCTGTGAAGAGAAATCACCTCTTCTCTTGTCTTCCTGGACCATTCTCTTGCCTTCACCATGTTTGTAACCACACCAGTAAATGTCTAGAAGGAGCTGAGTATCACAGTCATTTTAAAGCTGCCTAATTGGTGCTTATTATGCTTGATTGCTGCTCGGTGACATCCACAGGTGTTTTTCAATACCTGATGGAAAGCACCTGTATGAACCTCTGTTCTTCAGAGTGGTAGTCTTTAAGGGGTTGAATAATTGTGGCAATGAAGAAACCACATAAGAACCATTTACTACTGTATTACATAAACAATTGATGTCATTTTAGTTGCATTTGGGTAGTTACAAACGTCCTTGTAGGATTTGATTCTGAATACAATTCCAAATGTACACTATAGTCCCTAAACCCCTTTACAGCATTGGGGGTTGAATAATTTTGGACACAACTGTATATATATTTTCGTGACATCTCTTTGTAAATATTTTATTGCACCTGTTTGACTCTTTTAGTAATAAATCTTTCTTTGTGAAAGTGTTAAACTGTTTTTAAAGCGCTTACCTGCAATTCACGAATCCCTGCCTTTGAAGAGACGCTACTGTTTGTTATATCTCTGTATAGCAGGTCTGCGGGCCGTGCTATATAGATCAATATTTCAATCATTATAGTGTATATTTGATAACGGGAGTTTCCCAGTCTCCGACAAAAGTGGGTTGGTGGCAGTAGAGGGCTAGTTGCGTAATTAACCCGACCCAGTAACAAGCGCATTCAGGCTGCAGGCACCGATTGTAGCCCATTAGCTGGACAATCGCTGTGCAGGGTGCAGCTGGGTGGGGCCTTGTTACGCGCGTCACACCGCAGTTTTAGATCGGCCGGCTCTTCGGTCACAAGTTTGATGAGAAGGTCTGGGGTTCTGACGCCGTGGTCGTGACGT